ATGTCTCTTGTCCCCAGGCGTTTCCTGCTATAATTTACTACCCTTACATATCCAGGGCCTAAGCTGCTTGTAGGATTGCTCCCAAGCACTTGAAGTGATACAAATTAGCTTGAGACTTTGTATAATGACCTAGGCAAGAAAGACCGTGTTCTGCCACAAGGATGCTGAGATTTCTGTGCAGGCAACTCACACACAAGTGACAAAATAATAAAATTATTTCAACCAGCACAGCTGCAGGGAATATAAATGTATTTCTATATTATATACACTTAACCTAAAAAAAGTCAACCCCACTAAAGCAGTTTTTGCAATGAATACAGACATCAAGATACAAATGGATCTTTAATTGGTTAATTACCTTTAGCACTCTCACTGCAGGTCTTATCTATCATATTTCCTATGATGCAGCCTTCATTGTTAGCAATAGAACAGTAGAAGAGCAGCAAACAGCTACTCAAAGTCCATCTCCTCCACTGCCAGTTCTACTAGTATCAAAAAAATCCCAAACTAATGATTCTCAAACATCTTAGGGGCTTGTCCCTCAGAACAGCGATCCTCACAGTTTGACTGCAGTCAGTACAGATCTGCTCTATCGGCAATCCTAAAGCAATCTGGAGAACAAGAAATGGAAAACAAAATGGAGGGTTGAAGAGACACTTACTCTTTCTCTTTGCTTTCTTTTTCCACTTGAGTGAGACATTCCCATTTTTCCTCCTGCTTCTTCCTACACATCACAAGGACCATGTCTGTCTTTATCTGTACGGTGAACAGCAAGGCATGAATTTAGAATGCTTCATAAAAGGATGCTCGTCACAACCACCACGAGTAAGGTTAGCTTATAACATCAACCTCTTTTTATACTCACAAATTCCTGAAGCAATTACCACAGCTATTGATTATTTAGCATATAGAAATTACAGTATGTACTCAGGTTCGGGGTACAAAGTATTAACCTCACTGTGGACAATTTAAATGGCACAATTGATATAATACTAGTACCAATATAGAGGAACATACAGTGCTGCAGAAACACCATTCAGTGATTCTCAGGATGCTAAAAGTACCCAGGGCTGCCTGGTAAAGGGTGGTTATATTTACTGGACTTCTCCAAGAATACCAAGTTCAGGTGGAGGCTCTCCCAATTTATTTCTCCATGAACAAGAAACTAGTTTTAGGGCATTGCTTAATCTTGCAATATGTTTGCAAGTCACAAGCAAAGCCTGTTTAATTGCAACCATGACCTAAATTTCACAAAGAACTCCCGTGTGCCACAGCAGACAAGAGTCTGCTGGCGCTTTAGCTTAGCAAGTACGTGACCGCTGCTCGCTTTTACACCATGTTTAAAAAAAAAAAATATCACCAGAGCATCACCCTCATTTAGTTCAGTTGTTTTAATTTTACACTGTCCTAGTTTTAGGGCAATTTCAAATTGAACCATCATTTCTTCACATCTGCTGTCACTAAGTGCAGCGCACGACAGCACAGAACGCACACAAGGTACGTGACTCATCCAACCCTAAGCCCGGAAAGGTGCAACAAGTAGCAGAGTACGGACACTATCACCAGTTGCAGTCATCAGCAGTAACATGCTACCAGTGTTCGGTGCTGGAGCAACACACCGTTACAAAGGCAGAGCAGGTTTCAGACTTTGCTTTGGGTATTAAGCCTATTTAAGCTTCCCAAGATTTCGGTCTGCTGACAAGTCTCTTAGACCTTAAAATTGCAAAGAATTTCTCAGAGGTATTTAAAAGCACAAGGATGCAAATGGATGCTTAGTGGAATTTTCCGCTTAATTATTTCTGAAATCCTGTTGGAGAGCTATTAAAAAAAAAGCATACAATATCCAGACATGATCCTTTGAAATAGGAGCCTATGGATTCCAGAGAGTAATTCCACAGTTGTGACAATTACAGATTAATAAGAACCACGTTCACAGTGACTTTACAGACAGAAGGGAGGGACGGAAGGTTAGCACTGACTCTCTTGCACTAGAGTCAGGCAATGAACTCAGTACTTCGTGAGGGACCTAAACCTCTCTAGCAGATGAGGTGCACTGACCTTTCTAGAGCTGCCTTCCACAGAGATGGGTTTCAGGAGGTTGTTGAAGGTCATGGTGTAGTTCTTCCCGTTCAGATTCTTCACTAGCAGATCAAACGACCTAGAACCAGAAAGCGGAGGGACGAATGACACAACTATTCCAAGCACTGTAAAACTACTGTGCCTTAACACTGAAAACAATGTCTGAAAGCCCCTTAGCAGGTGTATTTCTTGGGAAAGCATGTCAACAGGCTTCAATTACTTTCTTCCCAGGGCTCTCAAATCTTCAGGTTGGATTTAATACCGAGGACTTAAAAGGACCTATTCAGACTTCACAACAAATCAAGACTTTTAGGGTTCTTTCTACCTCACTGATCTCCTACAACCTTGGAAAGGCAGATTTACTTCATGTGCACTTCAGTTCTATCACTATCAAAAAAACCGGGCTAACACTACATATCCTGTCAAGCGTGATGAGGTGCAACAAGCATTTGTAAAATGAAAATACCCTGATACCCTCTAAAAAGGGCTGTACTTAAGGGTATGTGCCAAGTGCTACTAAAAGCTCATACCACTCAAGTTTAAAAAAAAAAAAAAAAAAAAAAAAAAAGAGGGTGAGGAGTAAGGGCTGATCCAGAACAGAAGTCAACACGTTCCTGCATTTACAATAGCGTTCTTCACCCATGCTCTCCCCTGTGGCGCGGTGCAACAAGATGAACTCACCTCTCTGTGAAATTCACCTGCACATTCTCAGCTGGAAGCTTCTGGACTCCACTTAAAGATATATAAATCTTAATAAACTTATCTGACTGATCCCAACCTGCAAGTGAAAAAAAGAGATTAAGTTCTACCTTTCCTCCCCAAACTTCATGCATTCCACTCCAACTCCCTCTGCAAAGTTCCCCAGCAATGACTAGGATCTCTGCCTTACTGAAACAATCTTCAGAGGGGTAAGGGGAAGACATGAATTATTCAAGAATAACTTGAGAACAAAAAGAGGTCTTCCTATTCCCTAATTCCTGCAAATTCTGAGAAAAGCCACGTTATCAGCTCAGGTAAATGGAGAGCAACCCTGTCTGTGCAGGGGAAATCAGAGGTAGCTGTCTGCTTTTGCTGCAGTTTCCTTGACCCACTTTTTCCCCTGCTCCCCACACAACAAGTATCTTGAGCAATTCCCTCTCCTTTCACCTACATGGCGAACAGAGAAGCCAAAGCTCACTCT